TATCCGTTGACCGTTTGACTATCTCCGAACCGAACCGAAACCGAATTTATTTTCGGTACGGTTCTGGAGATTCATAAAATATCCGTACCGAGAACCGAACCGAACCGAAAATAACCGTACCGAACCGAGGAACCGAACAAGAACCGTTTAAATTCATATAAATCCACACACACACACACATATATATATATATATATATTATCTTATTTTCTCATATGTATTTTTTTACACTTTGTACATTATTTTATTCAAATAAAATCTATATACATTATGTATATGTCCATAAAACTACCATAAGTTATATGTCAAATTGAGTTGCGAAAAATCATCCACTATTGAATGTTAATAGAATTTGAAACCTAAAAGAATAATTATTTTATTTTGGTACTACTTATGAGACACTAAAATCTAAAATCTCGTTTTTGAATTAATTGTTTGAAAAGAAAATTAAATTAATATACTCTTCCTATTACAAAATTTGATAGCCAACATGTCAAATATTTTAGTAAGAAAATCATTAAATATAACTTAATAAAATTATAATACCAAGTATTTGGAAACCGACCTTTATGAAGAAGTCTTTCCCACAACTTGGAGAGAATTATTTATTTAAAGGTGATATATTTTAAAATAAAAATAAAATAAAAGATATATTTACCATAATATTAGATTAAGAACGAATATATCGATTATTTATTAATAAAAATAATTATAACTTAATAAAATCAAATATCTTCAATTTTCAAAAATAAACTTTATATGTGCTATATCCAAATCTCACAATATTGGCCGGGAGATATTAATTTATTTGGACAAAATATATTTCTAAAATATTCTTTTATTTAACAAGTAACTATATTTAAATTGATTATTGTTCATGTACGTCTTATTACATGCGGATTTTTTGCATATAAACGTTTATCATATAAATATTTCAAATTATATTATGATATTTTGCAACTAAAACATTATTATCACTTTTTGTATAAAATAAAAAATATTTTAACCACCTATTCT